GCCCCTGCACTTGGCTTCTGCTGAGGGCCACAAGGAGACTGTCGAAGCTTTGTTATCTGTGTATGCTGATGCGTGCTTGCGTTGCGATGAAAAGGGAAGAATCCCTCTTCACTATGCAGCCATGAATGGAGAAGTTGAGGTGATCCAGAAGTTGATTGATATAAATCCTGAGTCCATTTATGTCAAAGTTGAAAAAGAAACAGTTTTGCACTTGTGTATTATACACAACCGGTTAGAGTGCTTGAAACTGTTGGTTGAAAGAGACGACAGTAATGGCGAGTTCCTCAACTCAAGAGCTGGCTGCTGCGATGGTAGTGTGACCATCCTGCACTTAGCTTTGATGCTAAGACAAATTAAGGTACGTATATATATTTCCATTTTCTATACTGGATATTCTTAGTTTTTTACCATATTAATTAATATATGTTCATGTGTAAATTTTTTTTCTTTTTTTTTGTTTCTTCCCCTTTATACATATGGGATTAATCTTAGTTTATTACTATGAAGTTTTTAGGTTTTCAACATTTGATACATTAAGTTTTTTTCGTCCTAATTTAGTACTTAAAGTCATAATTAATTATGAGACATTTTCATACATCCTCTAAATTTTCTGTTAAAACCTCTATTAATTGATAACGTGGCACTCACTTAGACAATAATTGGATGTCACACGTCAATATGAGCTCACGTGGATATTACTATCTCCCTCCCTTCGACTGCACATGGGCGGCGGTGGAATGAATCCGCTCCCTTCCCCATATCTGCAACCCACTCCCTGCCCTTATCTCCCGTGTTTCCCGTAGAGCTTGTCGATAGCTTGGTCCTCTGCACATCCAGATCCTCCACAAAAGGCCAGCTGCACAGACCTCCTTTTCTTTTAAATGATCTTTAGGTTTTGAGGATTTTAGTTTTTTTATTTTTTTAATGTTTAGTTTTTAATTGATCTTCACTAAAATCCTCATTTACATGTCGTCTATATTGACATGTAGCATCCAATCATTGTTTATGTAGATGCCACGTCATCAATTAATGAAGATTCTGATGAAAAATTTAACGGATGTATGAAAGTCTTCCAAAATTAATTATAACTTTAAGTACCAAACTAGACGAAAAAATCTTGATGTATCAAGTGTTGAAAACCAAAAAACTTTAGAATAGTAAATTGAGATTAACTTTATGTGTGCGCTTTCTCTTGTTTGTTTGTTCCCCTAGGAGCATAATAATAGAGTGTATATATTATTTACAGACGACACGTTACCTGCTTTCCGTTGATGCTATAAGAGCAGAAGCAATTGGTGTGAATGGGATGTCTCTGACCATGTTAGATATCTTAGAGTACAGTAGCGTTGCAAGAGAGGACTTTAGCAGAAGCTTAGAAATTCAACAGATTTTGATAGACGCATGATTAATCAGAAGACAAAATAATGAAAATGATAATCCTAACTCAGCTGTTGCCGCTGCTGCTGTTGTTGTATCGCCAAGTCCAAGAACGGTAAAGAAGAAAAAGAAGGGATCAAAGCCACCAGGGTGGTTCTGGAGAAAATTGATGATATGGTTAGGATATCCGCATGAATGGGTGAAGGAGACACGTGACTCTCTGATGGTTGTGGCTACGGTGATCTCGACCATGACTTTTCAAGACGTAGTCAACCCAGCTGGTCGTCTTTGGGTTGATAATCTTACAAAAACTTGTAGAACAGTTTGGAGGGAAAATAATGATACAGACACTACCTTAGGCCACAGTAAGGATCCCATGGATTACTTCCCCAGCTTCATAGAACACAACACCGTCTCGTTCTTTGCTTCTTTGACTGTCACTCTTTTGCTCATTAGTCGATTTCCTCTCCACAATCGGTTGTCCACATGGCTCTTATCGATGTCCATGTGCGTCACTCTCGCATTCTTGGCACTCACCTACCTAACGGTGCTGTCCATGATCGGCCCTAATTACGGTATTCAGGAACCATGGAGCTTGTCAGCAATATTCATAATTCTTTGGATTGTGTTGCTGGTCATAGGCGGTGTACTTCACACTCTCCGGTTTCTTATTTGGGTGATGAAGTGGTTGCGGCCCATGTACTTCAAGTCAACATCAGGTCTCAAGAACATGATCACTACTGGCTCATTTTCACGTAAAGATCCAACGCGTTTTGAAGAGAATGATGCGCCTACAGTTGTGTGATTAATCTGCCGCGGTGTGTTTGCTTGAAAAAATAATTAACTAGGTCATACACCCTGTATGCATGTAGCAATTAGGGTTTAGGGTAATGAACTAGGTCAATGACGTTTTCTTGATCCGGGTTGGTAATTCAAGAGTGTTGCTTAGTTATGATAAGTAATCCATCTGCTATGTAAATTAGAAGTGTTTGTTGTCTTTAATTTGATGCTGGACGGTAGCTACTTTTTTATTATTATTCATTTATGTCATTTGTTATCACATTAGCAAACTAACAACTGTTCTCATTCCCTCTGGTAGTAGTTTGTTATTAGTTAATACAGTATAAATGGCTTTCTCAAAAAAAAAAAAAATTACAGTATAAATAGCTAAACATAGTCTCATGATTTGTTTGGAAGTGCTTTTAAAATGATTAAAAGCGTTTTTAGAGAAAAATTTGTGAGTTCAAAAGTACTTGAAGTGCTTCATGTGTTTCTTCCAGGAAGCATTTCATGCGCTTTTTCAAAATTCACTTGCGTTTTTACTAAGGATTAGTTCCCAAAACAATGTCACCAAAAACGTTTCAGTCATTTTAAAAACACTTCCAAATAAACGCTTGCACAAATATTCGCTTCTCTTGTATGGTCATTCAAATTCCAAGTGAGATCACCTAAAAAATTTCATAACATATCACATTGATTTCATAATAACATGTATGCTTACTCATCAGATTGTTCATTAAACAACTTCCTACTACTTAATTAAGAAAATCGATAATATCATCAACGGAAACTACAAGCCCTAACTTGGTCTTGCTCCTTAGCCAAGTAATAGTACTTCTAGTTCTAGTTTCTCACCGTAGTACACACTGGTAGAAGAATTTGGGGCCATGTTGAACTTGAGGATGACTTGAGGCCGGCCCGTACTGAAATAGAATTGAAATGTCGTTTGGAGGCGAAGAGTCATAAAAGCTCAAGAGCTGAGCCTTTGGTCTCACAGTGTCTTTATGCCTTATATCATGAACAACCACATCACATGATTTATAAAACATGGTTTAAATAGAAAGTTTTTATAGCATTACCCATTATGTTGTAGGGTATCTGTCCTTATTTTCCTTATATTAATAATCATTTTCTTTAAAATAGCCATTCATAAGTACCATCATATAATAAATTCATAACCATACAAACTTCATTTTTCTTGGATTTTTGAGATGTTTCTAATGCCTTGAATCTTGCAGATTCATCTTTTCCAGCGTCAAGCGATCAGTCATTGCTTTAACAACAAAGTACATTTGAGCTACATCATCTTTTCGACCAAAACTAAACTACATTCATCATTTTCTTTTTGTTTTTTTACGTTGTTTGAGCAAAAGAATAGTGATTCGTATTCGAAGTAAAAGTTGTGACCGTACATCATGTTTGTCTTGAAGGACAGACATGATATGGCCTAGAGGACAATAATGGTGGAATATGCATTGTAGGTATAGGTGAAGCCACCAGTCTAAATTACTCAAGAGTGGAGGAAATATGTTCAAGATCAAATCACATTGAGCTGAGGACAAGAGCTAAAACACAACTTGAAATTTCGACTAAACTTCGCTTTTGAAGGACACTGCTCGACACAACTAACAAGACATTCCTACTCACATTCCGAAATTAGAATCTTAACATATATAAAATAACTCATTAAAATCACATAAAATAAAGGTAATACACACACGTTAAACTATATATAATTTGTCTATGAATATAAATAACTTCTCTATGTTAATTTCAATAACTTAGGTTAAAAAGTCGGTTGCAGCCTTGCAGGCTAATTGTTCACAAAAAAGTGGTACATGAAAGTAACTTGGTAAGGTAAGGTCCCCCATTGCACAGTGTTAGATTCTAAGCAACCACTAGCCAATTGCTAACGACATGCAGGTAGTCTCTCTCTCTCTCTCTCTCTGGTTAGGTGAAGGGGACAACACAGAAGCTCATGACATGGTGAATTAGGTCATGAAAAACCAACGTTAATCCCACAAAAGTTTGGATGCAAGTCCAAAAGGTTAACATGAGAGAGGGACATGCAGTCACTAATCAACTTTTAAGCATCACATAACTTCGTACGCATCAAGATCTTATGATTCTTCACTTTCTTGATGTTTTGCTTTTGGCTTCCGAAGATCACATGGGAAAGTGATGGTCCCCTCTCTTTGTACATTCCTCTCTGCAATTATGACGGTTGGACATCTAGTGCCATCACCTTCTACATTGGGTGAGAGACTCGCATGAAATGAGGATGCTAAGATATCGAAGTCCCAAATTCATCACGTAATAGTTTATTTCATATAAGTCATTCTTCATTGCTGATTTAAACGATTTATATTAAAGAATCCCACAAGAAAATGTAGCAATACATTTAAGTTATGTTCTCTGGATCACTTGATAACTAAGGGTTTATGGTCACCCTTAAATTTGATATTAAGAGTTGAGATTAAAACATTAAACGCATGTTCATTTATTATCCACCATGAATAACCCAAGGATAAGTAACCATACATTCTTTTTAATCACCTAAGGACCTATATATTTGTACAATGAGTGATGCTAGGGAAATCATATTTTGCAGACAAGTCTACCTCTACTCGAGAAATGATTCAACTGCAAATCCCATGACTCAATTATCATGTAGAGTGGCCTTCATAACTCATAAATCATCACTAAAATTTTGATGAAAAAAATGATGAACTTCATGATTGGCAATTGATGAATATATAGTAGAAAACATCTTCAACTTTCCTCACATAAAAGACAGTTAAAAATAAGACAAAATAAATGGTGTCAAATTAGGGTTTAGATTGAACATTGTTTGTGAGACATGGGAAGCAAATTAAAGGTGTTTTTGCAGAGGGATTAATGGAGGTGAGGAGAGATAAGAGTGCATGAACAGAGAGGCAAAGAATGGCCGGTCCAACTTTAACTACCAGGCTCAGGGGTTCCTTGGAGTAACTTTAAAGTCTCTCTCTCTCTCTCTCTCTCTCTCTCTCTGCAATACCTTCATTGCACACCACCTATTCTGCTACACCCACTCAAAGAACTTTTTCTTTTTCCTTTCCTTTTCCAAATAAGTGAATAAAAAGAAGATGATTTATAAACAGAAAGTTAGATTGCTGCTTTGATGATTTTTGGGTTGAGAGAGAGAGAAAAATGGGATACATTTTCTCTCAGATTGTCCTCCTCATGATTTTTGTCATCATATCTTTTCTCATATCATTACACAATGCAGAGGAGGACTACTTGAATGTTCATGGCCTACAACACCACCTGCATTTCATGGAGGACAATGCCGACGCTCCCCAAAACCTACAAATGCACAAAGGTTCCGGGGAAGATGAAGAGAATGCAGTTTCAATTGTCGAAAATTTCGGAGCTTTACTTGGTTTGAACAGCTTCCACAAGCGAACGCCATCGGTTGGCGACAGTAGAAACGTTTCTCCTTCCCCTTCTCCAATTCCCTACTGCGAGGAGGAAGCTCCTAGTCCAGCTCCTGCTCCTGCTCCGGCGCCTCACATCCACGCGGGTTCCCATCATCCGCATCGCTTGCATTCGATCACAAAGCCTCAAAACATTCACAGAGAAGATAGAGGGGGAATCACGAGGATACTTGTGGCGGTTCTTGCTTCCACAGGAGCTGCAGTTGTTATCTGTGTGTTCGGAATTATTTGGGGTTGCAGGAAGCACAGAAAGCATAAGAAGAAACCCACGAGAGTGATTTCAGTTTTCGGAAAAAAAGGAGGAGCTAAATCAGCAAGCAAGGTGAGGTTAAATCCTGCCACTAATACTTCTGATCTCATTTATCTTGAATCGTTAGGGTTGGATTTAGAGCAGCAACATCAGCAGATTTCTTGTTCCAAAGAAACTTGTGAAACTGTAACTTCTTCACGAAATCATACATTGCTTGAGAGGGAAGAAACAAATCAAGAAGTGATAAAATCGGAATTCAATGATGCTAGTAGTAGTTCTTCCACTAGGGAAATTACGTCTATTCATGAGGATATGATTGCAGAGTCAGTGAAATATGACTCTGATTGTGCTAATTCCGCAACCGGTGACAAAATTACTCTCGTTAATTCTTATTCTTCCGATGATGAATCTTTCCATTCTTTCGGAGATTCGAATTCATCAAATGTCCGCATTTCGAATGCTTCCGCTGGTAGCCTAAATGAGTCATCAGACATTCTCTCCAAAAATATGTCAAATATAGAACCAGATCAACCAACAACCCTAAACCAAAAATCAATTCCGGCTCTTGAATTGCAGTCTCAGAGAAATGGAGAACGCGAAATTCTGAATGCACCGCGATCTTCCAATTGCGAAAAGAATGTCACATTCCCTCCAGCACCACCTCCTCCACCCCCACCACCAATCAAACACTTTCCTCATTTCCATTCTTCTCCTAGTTCAGCTATAATTGCGTCTAAAGCTTCGTGCCCTTCTTCTACATTGCGAAATCTATCACCGCCAAGAAAATCAGATTCTTCTTCTAGATCAAACCAAACCCAAGAAGGCGGATTTTCTGCTTCGCCTCAAAACTCCTCTAGAGCTTCAGAAACTCCACCTCATGTTCCTCCACCACCCAGCCCACCTCCCTTTTTGAAAGCGAATAATGGCTTTTTAAAATGTCCACCTCCTCCACCCCTCCCTCAAGCTGCGCCATTGGGAAGAGATGGAACTCCGTTGCCTAAACTGAAGCCGTTACATTGGGACAAAGTCAGAGCTGCACCGGATAATTCCATGGTGTGGGACAAGCTGAGATCAAGCTCATTTGAGTAAGTTACTTATGTTTTCAGATGTGATTTCGGTTTCTTTTCTTCTTCTTTTTTTCTGTTTAAAACTGCACTAATCATGAACAGGTTGGACGAGGAAATGATTGAATCACTTTTCGGATACAATCTACAAAGATCAATGAAGAATGATGAAGCAAAATGCAAGAGCCCTTCTCCAAGCAAGCATGTTCTTGAGCCAAAGCGACTACAGAACATAACCATACTCTCAAAAGCCCTGAATTCTACTGCTGAGCAAGTATGCGAAGCACTAGTACAAGGTATATATGAAACTTCTTGAACGTATAACTTCTAAAGACATGACGTCTTGCAGAAAGTGGGACTAGTACTCTAAACAACGAAAACCTAACAAGATTAAAACATTAACAGGCAATGGATTGTGTTTGCAACAATTGGAAGCACTTGTAAGGATGGAACCCACCAAGGAAGAAGAGGCTAAACTCACCGGCTTCAAAGGAGACATCAATGAACTAGGGTCCGCGGAGAGGTTTGTGAAGGCCGTGCTTAATGTGCCTTTCGCCTTCCAACGAGTTGAAGCAATGCTTTACAGAGAAACATTTGAAGATGAGGTGGTTCATCTCAGGAACTCCTTTTCAGTGCTAGAGGTAGGGCATGTTCAGGAATGCTTATATATGAAGCACTTCTGTTTACAAGCGTTTCTGCCAGATGTGTTTTTTTCATACATCAAGAAGCATATTTGAAACGAAAATCTAATCTCTTTCTTTTTGTAAAAATTACGGTTTAATTTGTACTACAGGAGGCCTGCAAGGAACTGCGATCAAGCAGGCTCTTCTTGAAGCTACTCGAAGCCGTGTTGAAAACAGGAAATCGAATGAATGTGGGAACCATCCGAGGAGGAGCTAAAGCATTCAAGTTAGACACACTGCTCAAGCTCTCCGACATAAAAGGAACCGACGGAAAAACCACCTTGCTACATTTTGTTGTGCAAGAAATTATTAGGACAGAAGGGATTCGAGTTTCGGATAGCATCGTGGGGAGGATCAGCCAGAAGAACAAAACCAAAACCGTAGAAGAAAAAGAAGAAGACTACAGAAGAATGGGGCTTGACCTAGTTTCCGGCCTCAGCACCGAGCTCTACAACGCGAAGAAAACAGCCACATTGGACTTGGATGTTCTTGCAAGCAGTGTATCAAATCTCTCAGATGGAATGGATAAAATCAAACATCTGGTGCACGAGGATTTGTGCATGGATGAGAAGAGTGGTAATTTGGTGGATTCGATGAAATCGTTCATATGTTATGCAGAGAAGGGTTTGAGAGAGTTGCAGGGTGATGAGAGTAGGGTTTTGTCACAGGTGAAGGAGATTACAGAGTATTTTCATGGAAATGTGAGCAAGGAAGAAGCTAATCCGCTTCGGATTTTCGTGATTGTTAGGGACTTTTTGGGAATGTTGGATCATGTTTGTAAAGAGCTTAGAAGCTCAAAAGCTCGCACTCCAAATCCTCTTGCTCCATTCAAATAGGCTGTAGATTTTAATGAGTTTGTTTTGGTGTGTTTATATGATGGATTTTCATTCACTAAGCAACAATGTATAACCTGGTTTTGAATTTTGTACGTAGGGTTTTGGCCTTTAGGCTGTGCTGGGTTGAATTTCATACCTAATTAAAAAATGAAAACTAATGAAAATAGTTTAAAAACTGTGAGTTTTAATCAAAATGACAAAAAAGTGTTGTAAGTGAATGGTACCGGAAGTATTTCGTTAAAACTTCTAATTAAAAATGTGTCAATTCATATTGTCATATCTAGGAATTGTGGCAGGTCGAGTGGGGTCCATTTTAGTGGATGTGGACTTGACTTTTTTTTGTTTGTAAACGAGTTCAAGCCCGTCCGAGTTAATGTATTTTTATTACTGGAATCGCCTCATTTTGAATTCATTTGATATGGTCTGGTTCTTATGGGTTAAATAGATCCATTTTCAATTATTTGTAGTATAACAAAACAACGATATAAAACAATCTCTATATGTTTCCGTTAGGAAAGAATTACGTCTAACAAAGTCAATACCAACAAATGTTCTGAAAGAAGTTTGATTGTTGTTGTACTTCTTAGGGTTTGATAGATATGTAATTGGATCATAGGCTTCATTGTGGACCATTAATAAAATGACAAGTGCTAAAACAACTCTTAAACGGTCCCGGCCAAGTTACCTGCACATGAGAAATATAGACTTAGTTTTACAGAAGTTGGGTCCAACTCAGACCACTTTGAAAATTAAAATAAGGACCGAATGGTCTTACATCAGTTTAGGTAACACGGGTCCAAAGACCCGTATGCCCATCCTTGGTCAAATCTACTCTGATTTATGATTTATGGTGTGTGTTATATTGACACGTTTTAAAAGATTAGAGGAGTTCATAATGAAATAAAAAGCCAAACTGAAAAATCAAAAGAAAATCTTCAGCAACGCCACTAAAACTAAAGCTTGGTTAACAGAATCTCTCCTTCATTCGGCTTCCACATGGTCTCATTTTGGAGAGATTTTTCAATGTAACCAGAACATTAAGTGGTACACCACGTGTCATTATGCAAATAGTGGGATATGTGTGTTAAAAAGTTAATAACTTAAAAAACAAAATTTCTCACCACTTGCATAAAAACACTTAATGCACCCCGTGTTTCCGTCTCAATGAAAATTTTCTCCTCATTTTGGTAGACCCGAACACTGGAGTCCCACGTGTCCTGAGAAAGACGGATAACTTGCACGGCTGTCGGAAACCAAGAATTTCTCCACGGAAAGTGTTGCGGTGTCATGTTGGATGGGTTTGGGCCTCCGTGAGGACATAGTAATAATGGGCCAAAACAAAGCAACTGTGGTCCAGCGCAGCCCAGACTCTGAAACAAAGACTCAAATTACAATAACACCCTCGTTCGTTTATTGAATACCCGATCTACCCTCCAACCGCCACGAATCCCCGCGCGCCGTTTTCCCCTTCTTCACAATTCAAGAAGCATCCGGATTCCAACCGAATCCACGCGTCAAAAGCATACAAGCTTTGACATCATGTCCCAGTAAGTAGCCAACAACGAGCCCTGACGCAAAACTGCCGACGTGGCGCATCGCCATTGGACGAAAATACCTCCGATCAAAACATAACCGAACGGAGCCAAACAGTATATAAACAACCCCCTCACCCTCACCTATTTCACTCAGAAACCAAAATTCACAAGCTCACAAAAATCTCAACAAAAAAGGAGAAGATTTACAGAAAAAGCTCAAATTACAGAGGAGCTTCGAGAAGGAAATCAATGGAGGTGAAGAGGATCCATGCATTGTCGTTCGCGTTTCTGCTTCTCTTTGTTTCAGGTACCAAGTCATCAAATATAGTCCGGCTATGGAACGAATGTCTGTGTGTTATTAAGTGATGAATACTAAAGAACGAACGTTAATTCTGTCACGGATAATGTGCTCGATTTTAAGAATATACGTACGGAAATTTTTAGTTCATTTAGTTGATCAATAATTTTCAGCCTTGAGTTTGAACTTTTGATTATTTTTTATTCGTATAATTTGCTGAAGAATTTGGTGTTTTTAATTTTTGTTTTGGGTAGAATTCCTGTGTGGAATAGCGGTAGCAGCCGAAGATTCACCGAAGGTGGGGACGGTGATCGGAATCGATCTCGGAACGACGTATTCTTGTGTGGCGGTTTATAAGAACGGTCATGTGGAAATCATAGCGAACGATCAAGGCAACAGAATCACACCCTCCTGGGTCGCGTTCACTGATACGGAGCGTTTGATCGGAGAGGCGGCGAAGAACCAAGCCCCTCTCAACGCAGAACGCACCATTTTCGACGTCAAGCGGCTCATTGGGAGAAAGTAAGCAAATTTACTTAGTAATTTGGCTGCAAGAGACTGGTTTTTTTTTTTTTTTGTGTTTTTAATTTGGATTATTAACTTTTAAATGGGGAAAGTAAGCAAATTTTTTACTTGCTAAATTGGATTAATCGGAAGGGGATGTGGTTTATCTATGTGTTTAATTTGGATTATGAAATTAGATGGATAAAATTAAGAAACTTTACTTCGTATTTGGACTGGAAGGAGTTGTGGCTTATCTGTGTGTTTAATTTGGATTATGAAATTAAATGGGAAATTTAAGAAAATTTACATGATAATTGGATTGGAAGGGGATGTGGAATTGTGGCTTATCTGTGTGTTTAATTTGGATTATGAATTAATTGGGTTCTGTTCGATTTGGTGTTTTGATCTGTAGGTTTGATGATCCAGAGGTGCAGAGAGATATTAAGTATTTACCCTATAAGGTTGTGAACAAAGATGGGAAGCCTTACATTCAGGTGAAGGTTAAAGGTGAAACCAAGGTTTTTAGCCCTGAGGAAATCAGTGCTATGATTTTGGGGAAGATGAAGGAAACCGCCGAGGCCTATCTTGGGAAGAAGATCAAAGATGCCGTGGTAACCGTTCCAGGTAATGCTCGAAAATCTCTTTGACAAATCTTTTATAGCCCTGTGGACGGTTGTTAGATAGTACAATGAGAAGACATAGGGTTTATGTTATTGTGTTCATTGGTCTGATGGGTTTGCTTTGATTGGTTCTTGTAGCGTATTTCAATGATGCGCAGAGGCAGGCTACAAAGGATGCAGGCATCATTGCCGGGCTCAATGTGGCTCGGATAATCAATGAGCCCACGGCCGCAGCCATTGCCTATGGTCTAGACAAGAAAGAAGAGAAGAACATACTGGTTTATGATCTTGGTGGTGGTACATTTGATGTTAGCATCTTGACCATTGACAATGGCGTGTTTGAGGTGAGGTCTACGAGTGGAGACACTCACTTGGGAGGAGAGGACTTCGACCATAGAGTGATGGACTACTTCATCAAGTTGATCAAGAAGAAATATAACAAAGATATTAGCAAGGACAACAAAGCTCTCGGGAAACTTCGAAAGGAATGTGAGAGAGCTAAGAGAGCGTTGAGTAGCCAGCATCAGGTTCGAGTGGAGATTGAATCTCTTTTTGACGGCATTGATTTTTCGGAGCCATTGACAAGGGCTAGATTCGAGGAGTTGAACATGGACTTGTTCAAGAAAACCCTGGGGCCAGTGAAAAAGGCTATGGAAGATGCAGGCTTGAAGAAGAAAGATATTAATGAGATTGTTCTGGTTGGAGGGAGTACCCGAATTCCTAAGGTGCAACAGATGTTGAAGGACTACTTCGATGGGAAAGAGCCAAGCAAGGGGATCAATCCTGATGAGGCTGTTGCATATGGTGCTGCAGTTCAAGGTGGAGTTCTCAGTGGCGAAGGCGGAGAAGAAACCAAAGGTAATCATATAGTGAGAGCATTTATTTTGAATTTAGTTTGCTGATGTCAACATAATTTGCAAAGGACTAAAATTTGTTTTTCCGCAGATCTTCTTTTGCTTGATGTCGCTCCATTAAGTCTTGGTATCGAAACAGTTGGTGGCGTCATGACAAAATTGATTCCAAGGAACACTGTCATCCCGACGAAGAAGTCTCAAGTCTTCACCACTTATCAGGACCAGCAAACCACAGTAACCATCAAGGTGTGTCTAACAGATAAATGCAGAGACTAGTTAGATGGGAATTTTTACATTTTGCATAGCTTGTGCTTTTCTGGTACTTTAACTAGTGTATGTGTTTGAAATTAATCAGGTGTACGAAGGTGAAAGAAGCTTGACGAAGGATTGTCGTGAGCTTGGAAAGTTTGATCTCACCGGCATTCCACCTGCTCCAAGGTAGTTAATTGTTTGGGGTAAATTTGGTCTGGTCTAACATTTGTAAAGACGAATTGTGTACTGAAAGCTGCATGGTTTAACTTTTTGGTTGCAGGGGAGTGCCCCAAATCGAGGTGACATTTGAGGTCGATGCAAATGGCATACTACACGTGAGGGCTGAGGACAAGGCCGCGAAGAAGTCTCAATCCATAACGATCACAAATGACAAGGGGCGTCTAAGCCAGGAAGAAATAGAGAGAATGGTGAAGGAGGCTGAGGAGTTTGCCGAGGAGGATAACAAAGTGAGGGAAAAAATAGATGCCAGAAACAAACTTGAGACCTACATTTACAGCATGAAGAGCACTGTCAATGACAAGGACAAGCTGGCCGATAAGATTGATTCGGATGACAAGGAGAAGATCGAAAGCACGCTGAAGGAGGCGCTCGAGTGGCTGGATGACAACCAAAACGCCGAGAAGGATGATTTCGATGAGAAGCTGAAGGAGGTGGAGGCAGTGTGCAATCCGGTGATAAAGCAAGTGTATGAGAAGAGTGGTGGAAGTTCTGGTGGTTCACAGGATGAGGAAGAACCAAATGATGAGCTGTAGAAACCACGAAACGCAGAATGTTTGAGAGTTTCACTGTTCTTTTTTCTTCTCCTTTTCTTTTTGGCGGGTGTTAAGAGCTTAAAATGTAGCATGATTGATAGTGTCTATGTAATAGTATGTATATTTGAACATTCATTTCGAACTTTTAATTCCGAATGAAAATTAGAGTTTTTTGGGTTTCAAGTTTCGTTGTTCAAGCAAGGGCGGATCCAATATTTTTTTTTTTGGGTGGGCTAGTTGAAAATAGTACCATATGTTTATTTTTTAGGAAAACTAATGAA